AGGAGATTAACAGGCCTAAGAATCAGCATTTTCGATCGGAATTGAGCTTGTTGTAGTAGGAATCTACTGATCTCTCTATTGGAAGACAACTCGGATGGATAGGCTGATGAGGTAATTTGCACAAATCATATGTACATTCTGGCGGAATAGAGAGGTCTCTTTACAGGCGTTGGGGTCCATGTTCCGTGTCCCATATAGCCAGACATAATTGGCCTTATCGATCCGTTATCTTTGAAGCACATTTTTCCCACATTGGCAGTGATCCCAATCCGAACTTCCTGAATCATGTGGGAACTGGAGATATATGTATTGGGTAGGCGATGTATTGCCACTTGGTTTGGAGCTGATAACGTATTTAGTCTGTCTACATTTCCGRGGAGGAATCCGGTAGGAACACTCTGAAGCTCAAGCTAATACTCTTGAAGAGGCAAGGAAAACAATGGATTTCAACACCACAGAGCACAAAAATCACATACCTCTTTCTTTGGGGGAAGGGGGGCCTTTTATAACCGCCTTGGTGCACTCATCCCCATACCTCTGCCACATCAGGCATCATCACCTCTGCCAAATCGGGTGTCATAACCGCCACTGTCTTCCTTGTCAGGGCCGTCTCTGTGACGTCAGAGATGGCGGTGGCAAGTGGCCGTTGGAGTGCGGCTATCATGTGTCAAATCCCTTATCAGTCAAGCACGCCGCCTTCGTGTACGGGCTTCTTTGGCGTCAAGTACGGGTCGTTGGGTCACGCACACTGGAGCCAAGGTGCCGGAGTGGTGCGCGAGGTGAGGTCTTGAGATCGGATGAGTATGTTCTACCGTCCTGAAGCGTTGGCATGTGGTCCGAACTGACCCGAGGTGGGCTAGTCCGGGCCTTGCCCCTCGCGGGCTTCGCTGAGCCTCGGGATCCTTTAGGGAGAGCTTCGGGTTTCACCTCCCAGGAAGCGTGGGTCCCTTTTGGAGAGCTCGGACCTCTTCTTGGGGAGCTCGGGAGCTCGGCCCTCTCTTTGGGATATGGTCGTGCCTGACCTCGAAGTCACTGATCTTTACCTTTATGACGAGGGCGTCATCGTGGGGGTAGTGAACACCGTGCGCATCATCCTCGATGAAGAATATGGGGTCTTCTGTCCTTGGCCGCTTTGGGGGRTTTTGTTCTTCTCTAGTGGCCTCACGGGTTGATGCCTGAGCTGCTGCCGAGGTGCATCCTGCTACAATCGATCCTCCAATGATCACATGGATCGTTCCCCGAATTGGCCTTTCCTCCGAGGGCTACTTCTGTGATTGTTCTATCGGCTGGTTGCTGGACTCGAGGGCATCTCTACTGTACTCCCCCTGCCGACCTATCTTATTATTATTATTATTATTATTATGCTGTACAAAATTTCTTAGGTACCCGCGACGGATAAGTTCTTCTATCTCGTCGCGGAGATTATTACAATGCTCGGTGCTATGGCCGTGGTCTCTATGAAAGCTGCAATACAAATTTTTGTTTCTCTCGTTCGGGTTCCCTTTCAGATGAGGGGGCCACTTCATGTACGGGGCGCCCTTGATCGTCATCAGTATCTCAACCCACTTCGCGTTCAAGGGCGTGTAGTCCACCCGATCCGCCATGGGAGCTCGAAACGACTGACTTGGCTTCGCAACCTGAGTGGGGTCTTTCTTCCTCCTGTCATCCTGGTTGGGGAGTTCGCTCTTCCTTTTTTCAAACCCGCCCTTAGTCCTCTGGTTGATCTCCTCCTCTGTCCTTATGAATCTGTCCGCAAGCTTGAGGAATTCAGCTATGGTCGCGGGCTGGCTGACCACCATGTGCCATTTGAATTCCTTGTGCGTCACCCCCCTCTTGGCTGCTGCGAGCTGTACCGCGGGGTCTAGACGTGGTATCTGCAAGCACGCATCGTTGTACCGTTTGATAGCCTCGAATGGATTCTCCTTCCCTCTGGACTATCCCGAGGAGGCTCTCCTCGGTTCGGGGACACCGCTTACTGGTAACAAAGTGCGCGGTGAAGACTTGTACAAACTGGGTCCAGTTCCTTATCGACCCGGGGGCCAGGTTCCGGTACTAGGTGCGGGCAACTCCCCTAAAGGTGGTGGTGAAGGCTACGCACATGCAGGACTTGTTGGCCCTTGCCAGGTGCATCTAGGACTGGAAAGCGTCAACATGATCACTAGGGTTAATGAACCCATCATATTTGTCTAGCGGGGGGAGTTTGAAGTCCTTGGGCATGGGAACAGCGAGGAGTTCTAACGACAAGGGGAAGGGACTGAAATAATAGGAGCAGCCTTTACCTTGTTCGAGCTTGCTTCTTCTTTACCTTGGAGCTCGGGTAGGACGCGGGTGGTAGTTCGGCGACTTCGCTGGCACCTCTGCTGCTGCTTGGAAGGTCCGGTATTGGCGCTGCTGGCCTCGGTGTTGCCGAGCTCAATGGACTCGGACTGCTGGTGGTAGTCCGTGGCCAGGACACCAAATTGGTTTTCCGCGAGCGGGAGCCTGAACTTAGAGTGCCGAGGTGCCGACTTGATTGGCTGGGAGGCCCCTGATCCACCGGCGAGCTGCGAAGCGGGGGTAGTTAGTCTTTCCTTCCTGCTCAGGGACGAGACCTGACTTCTGGAGGGGTTCTACGGCTGGGATGCTTCCCCTTGGCGAAGGTGCCCGCCCTGAGGAGAGGGTTTGACCGGCTTGACAACAGGGTGTCGAGGCGGGAGCTGCGGTTGGTTTAGAGGTAGTTGGGGGAACTGTTGTTGGTAGTGATACTGAGAAATGTGGTGTAGTACTTGCTGCTGATGGAGTTGATGTTGCTGGAATTGTTGCATTTGGACTTGCATGGCCCGCATGCATTGCATCAAGTCATCAAGCTGATTCTGGCTAGTTGCCTGAGGGACAATGGTCGGCTCGGCGAAGGTTGTTTCAATAGGGAGGGGAAGGGGAACATTCACAGGTGCTATCGTGCTTGGTGCATTAAGGCTAGGGATTCCGTCCGCCGAGAGGGGGACGGTGAACTGTCCGATGCATACAGTGGCGGGATGAAGGTGTTCCCCTATAGTATTCAAGTCGGCGTTGTGCCCGTTACTGCTGGAGGAACCCATGGATACTAAAGGTTTCTTTGAGAGAGAGTTAAAGGTTAGGGGAGGCCTTTTGAAGTCTTCCCACAGACGGCGCCAAATGATGATGCACGATCTGGTCGGTCCTAGCTGCCGGTCACCTTGCCTTTGACAGAGCTGAAGATGCCTGAAACAAAGAAGAAACTGGAGATTTCCGGGGAGGAACCCGGTAGGAACACTCTGAAGCTCAAGTTAATACTCTTGAGGAGGCAAAGAAAACAATGGATTTCAAGACCAGAAAGCACAAAAATCACATACCTCCTTCTTTGGGGGAAGGGGGGCCTTTTATAACTGCCTTGGTGCACTCATCCCCATACCTCTGCCACATCAGGCATCATCACCTCTACCAAATCGGGTGTCATAACTGCCACTGTCTTCCTTGTCAGGGCCGTCTCTGTGACGTCAGAGATGGCAGTGGCAGGTGGCCGTTGGAGTGCGGCTGTCATGTGTCAGATCCCTAATCAATCAAGCGCGCCTTCTCCGTGTACGGGCTTCTTTGGCGTCAGGTACGGGTTGTTGGGTCACGCACCCTGGAGTTGAGGCGCCGGAGTGGTGCGCGAGGTGAGGTCTTGAGTTCGGATGAGTAGGTCCTACTGTCCCGAAGCGCTGGCATGTGGTCCGAATTGACCCGAGGTGGGCTAGTCCGGGCTTTGCCCCTCACGGGCTTCGCTGAGCCTCAGGATCCTTTAGGGAGAGCTTCGGGTTTCACCTCCCAGGAAGCGTGGGTCCCTTTTGGGGAGCTCAGACCTCTTCTTGGGGAGCTCGGGCCTCTCTTTGAGATATGGCCATGCTACGTCTCTATGCCGAGCTGGCGTTCCTGCCAGATCACCCCGTCTTCTTCCACGTGTTGCATAGCCAAAGGGTCGGGCCAAATCTACCTCCATCAGATAGTGATACTAAACAAAGCTTAGAAAAATAGATATTGAAATCTTCCCAAGCATATATAGATCAGAGGTTGTATGTAATATGCCAATATCTGATATATATATATATATATTTGTAGCCAACTCATGCATCTGTTTTCTAAGGGTGGTTGTTCGTTCTTGGATGTTTGTATCCCCATTTTCTCCATTAAATTTAATTATTTTCTCTCCCACTCCAAGCTGTATTAAGTAAAAGTTAAAATGCTTACCGAGTCTGCTGGGGCGCTTTTAGTGAGTGCTCAATCCAAGTTTCAAATTAACATCCAAATTCATGTTTCCAGTGATGAGGAGACATGCCTTGGTGACCCCACACCACAAGCTGGTTTCCATTCTTCCGAATTTTTTTTTTTTTTTTTTTTTTTKTTTTAGATTAAAAAAAGAAAACAAACATACTCCATTGGACTTGGACGGTGGAAAAGATAGAAACTATTATAGCTCCAGAATAATTTCAAGAAACAGAATCGTCTGATCTCGCTGATAGCCTGATACATTACATTACACGTACTAAACTTCATCCCTTGCGAGTTGCGATTGCGAAGGGGGTGGGTAAAGCGAAAGCAAGGAGACGGGGTCAATATTTAACCTTCACACTGTAACCGTTAACGTTCATGGCTCATTCATTGTGCGATACAGCAAGGTTTTAATTCGGAAAGCTCACCAACGGGACCGCGTTGGCGTCATAAAATGTAGTACTGGTAGTTAGGAAAAAAGATCTACGCGGAGGACAGACTGTACAGGGGTTGTAGACTTATATATAGCTAGCTGTATGGATTCTTTCCAATTAAATAGTATATCAAAAAGGAAATAAAGAAGTTTCCTTCACAATTCGAAATGATAAACGGAGAGAGAAGGAGTAACGTTTCTTGACCGGGTGTGCTTGTTGTTTGTTTGTTTTTTTTTTTTATCTAATATAATTTTAAGAATATTTAAGAAACAAATTTGGTGGAGTAGTGATTCATTTCATTGGTTGTTCGCTGTCTTTCGGAATCGTAGCCCCACTTTCCTCTCCTTTTTATGCTTCTCCCTCGTCTTGCTTTCCACTTCACCCCATTTCGCCATTTTAGACACTATACTAGAGCAGGACCAGAACAGGCTTTACCCTCTCTTCTCTGTTGCTCATCTTCTCCTTTTTCTCTGTACAAGAAGATGAAGATGCATTTCAATGCCTTCGTCGTGGTCATGATTCTCGGTTCGTTTGCGAGTTCTCTCGCACAGGCACCGGCAGCCGCGCCAAAAGCCTCCCCACCGGCATCTTCCCCTGCCCCTGTTTCGGTTCCTCCATCCCCAACACCTACCGTTAGTCCTCCGTCACCAACACCAGCTCCGGTGTCTCCCCCCGCTTCCACCCCTTCTCCTTCGCCTTCCTCCCCATCTCCTTCTCCCGTGTCGACACCAGCTTTGGCCCCTTCTCCAGTATCTAAAACCCCAGCTTCAGCTCCATCTCCCAATTCCGTTGTCTCACCACCTCCATCATCTCCCTCGCCCTCCTCCAACACCCCATCTGAAAGCCCATCGGGATCTCCAGCCGACAACAACTCAAACTCCGCTATTGGTTCATTGAACAGGGTCGCTGTCGCCGGATCTGCACTGGTGGGCACATTCGCCGCTGTTCTCTTGATGTAGATCTCTGCTGATTCCGTCGTGATCATACGTTGTATTGATTATTGGCTATAGATCTGTCGGTTCATCTTGATTTTCTTTTCTTTCTTTCATTCATTTTGTTTGCATCATGGACGTTCATGTCCATGGAGGTTCACATTTTGCTGACTCGATGATCTTGGGTTTGTTGGGAGTTGGGATACTAATACACGCTAGTAAAGCTCAGCTCATCTCAGCTGATTCCTGATTGGATTGACTGGATTATCTAGAACGTGGTGGATGAGTCGGATCATGTACATGACAAAAGTTCATAGTGATGAATAAAGCCCCTCTTCTTTTTATTGGGTGTGATGTGAGTGTGATGTATATTTGATTATTTGTAGTGGGACCGCAGTGATTTAAGCCGGACTCTTTTTTGTCTTGAATGGGATCATGTTCATGGCAACTGACAAAGTCAAGAATTTGTGTTTAAGCCGTCTGATAAGAATATATGCCATCTCAATAAATGAGACGTCTTTTTTGTTAGGAAAGGGACAGGGTGTGTGGCCAGACTGATCCAACGGATATGGGTGGATCCGGGTATACTGGTTTCCTATTGCATTTGCGTGCGTGGATCCGGTTAGTTACGAATAAAGATGGCGTACATGGTTTCAACCTTCAACTTTCAACTGCTCGGTTAAAAGTTGAAATTCGAAAACCCGGGATCCAAGAGCTTTGAACAAAACTACTGCAGTCATGGTTTTTAAAACCGACCCGGAGACCGAACCGGTCTGGGTCTGGTTATTGGGTCAAATAGTCAATCTGTTTTAACAAAAAAAATTAAAAAAATTAAAAAATGGTCAAAATCGTTCGAACAATTAACTGCCCGGGTCAGCAGTTTATTAACCAAAATCAACAGTTTTTGAAAAAAATCTGGTTTTGGGGAAAACCAAAACCGGTTTTGAAAACCATGACTGCAGTACTGCTGCTTTATCGATCATTTCATCTGTCATGTGATGAAACAATGTTGCACAAGAAAGTTTAAGGCTATGTTTGGATTGATAAGAGAGAAAAACAAAGTTGAGGGAAGTTTTTAGACTTGCCCTCTTATTTTCTGTCAAACCAAACATAACCAAGTAGGTGTTTGGCATCGGTGCTGGTAATACCACACTGTTTTCTCATAAAAACGGTGTTCAGCATGTGTGTGTTTATTTTTTGTTTGGAAGAGGTGCTGTCACATAGGCTGTTCTATGGGAAAACAACACTGGTTTTGTTTAGTACTAGTGCTGTAGAACCGTTTTCAGTATTGGTCATATTATCCAATGTTCCAACATGATGCCACATCATTGCACCATTGGCAGGAAAGAGCTGTTTTCTGAGAACACATCAAATTTGGTGTTGCTTCAGGCCACACTTTCCCGATATCCAAGGTGTGGTCTGAAGCAATGCTTTTTTATGCAAAAACGGTACTAAATAAGAGACTGTTTTCTGACCGCTTTTTCTAATGTGGTGCATACATGGTGCCGTTTTCCCAGAAAACAGCACCGATGCCAAACACCCACCAAAAAGATAAGAAGAAAAAACAAACATAACCTAAAAGAAAAAAAAAACTGAAAATGAAATTAAAATTATATCCTCTTATCAATCCTCAACTGAAGCCGGTTAATGTTTTTCATTTTATTTGTTTCTTTCTTTTGGTAATTTATAGTTTGGAGCATGAGAATGCCATTTCTTTCCCTCTTAGTACACCTAGAATTACATTTTTATTCCCTCTATGGTATTGATATTTACATCTCTAACCAAACTAGAATTTATTGCATACAGTACTTTAGGTGATGGTTGGTTCTTCTTTATTGATTTTTCAAAATCAATGATTTTTAAAATCCATAATTTTTTCAATAATCGATAAATTTTGTTATTCAGTATCATTTATGTCATATAAGTCGACTTTTGAAAAATTGGTTTTGAGTATATTTGGCACTAATTCTTAAGGATTAATTATTTTTACATTAAAGTTAATATAATATTCAGCGTCACGTCATATGCCATGCAAGGTTTTAGAAACCGACCCGGAAATGGAACCGTTCTAGGTACCGGTTTCTGGGTCAGCGGTTTGATCGTCCAAGTCTAACGGTTCGAACAGTTTGTATATTAGTGTTAGGGCAAATATTTTAAATGAAAGGAGAACTGGAGTGGAGAAGAGATATCGGCCGAGAAAGAAAAAAGAAAGAAGAAAAAGAAGAGAAAGGAAAGGAAAGAGGGAAGAAGAACGAAGAGGGGGAGGATGGTTTGACGTCACCAGCAACGATAATGGCAATGGCGACGGCGAAGCAGCGGCAACAGTAGATTTGAGTTCTCAGATCTGAGATCTAAGATCTGAGTTCTTCTTCTTCTTCCTCTCTCTCTCTCTCTCTCTCTCTCTCTCTCTTCTTCTTCCACAGATCTCAAACATGAAACACGAACTCAGATTTGAGTTCGGATGTTTCTCTCTTGCATCTTTATATTGTGAACCGCTGTCCGGGTCAAATGAGTCAACGGTTCGACCACCCGAGTCAGAGGTTTTCTAACAAAATCAACGGTTTTTTACCCAAGAACGAGTTAGAGGTGAAACGGAACCGGTTGCTTGGACGGTGTTCAGGCCAAACGGTCCGACCGTCCAGGTCAACGATGGCTCAAAAACATTGATGTCATGTTATCTTCAAGAAATCGGAATCAACTAGAAATTAGGAAATCACCAAAAATGGTGATCCTTGAAAAAGGGTCAGTTTCAAAAAATGGTGATCCTTGAAAAAAAGGGCCAATTTCGGAAATTAATTTTTGGCTGATTTCTTGAAAATTACCAAAATCGACCAACTAAGCAGAAATTTTAGCATTGATTCCTCTCGCATTGATGTGGCTTCAACATGTCAATCATTTTTAGAAAATCGGCATTGTTACCAAACATCTCCTTAATAAAATTGTAGTGTTATATATTATATATTATGGGAAATAACTAAAAATACATATTGATGCATTCTGATCTGAGGTGTTCCGAACTGAGAACGCAGTTAGATAATCATGCTAACTGGATGAGACCAAGGTGGAAGAATGAAGCCACACATTGGAATCTATAACCAAGAAGGAAGGTCAGAGGCCTGAGGAGTTATTCCTCGAGTAGGTACTTTGATGCTCAAGTCAATCAAATGGAAGGGTAGGTGATTAGGCCGAGCAAGTAAGAATAGTGTTGGTCCGAGTAGAAGAGGTAAAGCAGAGGTATTAAAGTCCAAAAGTCCCTTACCTTGAGCGGAGATTACCTATTTATAACTAGAGGTCCATGTTCTACTCAGATGAGGCTTCTGGGGTTGTTGGGATGAGGTTGTCTGCCGAGGTTTTTAGGATGATTCCTCTTCCTTGGCGGGGTTAGCTTCCTCATCCGTGCGGGATACTCCTTGGTCACGCTTATCTATCCCGTGTGGTGCTGACGTGGCTGGAGAAATAAGGTGGCCGCGGAGGCTGCCATGTGGAATCCTTGGCCAACTCAACCATAACCCAAACACCACTCCCCTAGTTCTGAAGTCGAGGAGTGTAGTGCTCGGCCGCGATTTGGCGTGGAAGAGCTCTGTGGTCCTTAGTTGAGGAACATTAACTTATTGATTAATTTTTCTTTTCCAAGTTGAGTGGCTTGGGATGAAGCCGGTTTATCAGGTGAATCGGCCAGTTCGACGCTCATCCCGTTCCCGAGACAAGTCGACGGATGCGTCGTTTCGTCTTCTCAAGGTGACGTGCATGCAGAGGGTGGCATCGAATCGATGCCATTGATTTGACTTGATCTGGGCCATTGGTTGGCCTATAAAAAGGGGGGGTGAAGAGCCATTTCACTTTGTCATTTGCAAAGAGTCTGCTCCTTGGAGTTTGACGAGAAGTAGTCCTCAGTTGGTATTTCGGTTTTCTACAGTGTAGTCTTCATTTCTTTTGGTAAGATGTCCTCATCTTCGTCTTCTTATTCTTCTTGTTCGTCCTCTTATTCTAGTTTGAGTAGTGAGTCCGAGCAGGGGTCTCATGCCAGGGCTGCTGCACTCATGGTCTGCGAGACCAAAGGCTAGGGACCGAGGTCGACGAGATTGGGGTGAGGTTGAAGTGGTGGAGGCGGCCATGGTTTGGGTAATCGAGGTCGACGAAGTTGAAGTGGAGATTGTGTTTGATGAGGAGCCCAGCACCCCAATGCGGCTTAGTAGCTGCTTCGCGTCTACTCCTTGTTGTTTGACTTCGGGGGATTTGGCTCAAATCAAGGCCCCGTACTGCATTCTCGTGGAGTACGAGCTGAGGTGCTCAAATACTGGTGAGCGGGCTAGCTCGGCTTGACCTGGTGAGCTCTCCATTTATGAGCATAGCCTAATATCTGGGCTTTGATTTCCTTTGAGTGAGGGTATTGCTACGGTGCTGAGGTGGTACCACATTCAGTCAGTCCACAACATAGACATTACCCTACCAATGTTCACATATTTCTTGCACCTGAAGAAGCACTGGTAGGGTTACTACTATTTCTCGGCTCGGTAGCATAATAAAGTGCTCGTCGGGGCTCCCTTCTTGATGAAGCACTGGAAGGAGAGATTCTTCTTTGTAGGCTACCCCGGGGGTTGGCCATTCCCCACCGAGCTTTGTGCCCCAAGGACCAAGGTGAAGGTACCAACCAAGGCCGAGCTTTCTTGAGAGGAGTTGGCATCCATAAGGCGGGTAGAGAGGATAGACGTCTAGGAGTACACGTCGTTGTCAAGGTTGATCAATGTTGGGCTGATGAGCAGCACAACCAAGCACTACCAGTTTGGTCCGTGGGTTGTACGGTCTTTCCTTTTTTATTTTGATCTCCTCTCTTCATTGTGTTGACTGTGTGGCGAACTGTGCAAGGACGGACATGGTTGGTGCTGAGGAGAAGACTGTGACAGAGAGTAAGCATAGGTGGCTAAGGCTTCAAGTGTGCAACCCAAGGTCGCCGAGTAGCAGGGGCGCTTAGCAGAGCGCACACCTTAGCAAAGGAAGAGGCTGAGGCTCCTAGAGGAAGTCATCGTCGTTGATCTTGAGGAGGCTATGGTAGAGAGCTTGATTAGGGGTGTATACGTTATAGTGGACTGTTCAGCCGGAGGAGACCCTTGAGATGGAAGGGGTGCCCAAGCAACTTTCACGTGCTCTGATGCTCCCTAGCATTAGGCAAGATTCCAGCAATTATACCAGCGGCTTCTTGGAGTGCGCAACCATGCATCGGGCCGTGGCGGTGAGTTTTGCTTTGTTGTTGTTTATTGCTTTCCTTTTCTCGTACTGATAGCTTGTTGTTTTGTAGTCTGTTTGCTTGGTCATCGGTCTCATTGACTACCTTTGTGCATTGTGACGCCTTTGTGAGGTGCGGGAGGTCATGTATGAGCAACTAAAGACGGAGCTAGCCGAGATGAAGCGAGGTGTCAAGGAGAGGGAT